TGTCCTGTGTGGAGGATGTCTGGAGGACATAGATTTGGGTAGAGAGGTGAGCAAGACTGTTACAATTTTTCTGAAGGGAATTGATAAGGACCAGAACGAAGCCAGTGCAGATGGAAAGAAGGCAAATGATTCAAGAATTTTTGAGAAAATCTCAGCAGCACATCCAGCCCATTGACCTATTCTGTTATCCTCCAGGTATCCTATGCCTGGGCGTCAGTAGACTTTGAGGTTCACCAAAAGTACTGTGCTTTCCAGCCTTCCAGCCATGCTTGAAACGCCGTTCACCCTCTTCACCGGTTGTATATGCTTGCTTTGACTGTCTCTTCTGAGATGGCCTTTCTGAAGCTTGACACTCATGGGCACTCCCACTTCCTGGCTAATGAACGTTTTCCAAAACAATCAGTAAGTATGCATGAGTAGTAGACTCCACCTGGTAGGATGGACCGCCAGCCTCTCTGCAGTGGCTGTGCCTGGACACGGCCACGGGTTCCCACTGACAGGGAGTGGCTTCTTCATGCTCTACCCTTTATAATCCTGTTTTTGCCTCTCTTACCGTCTTCACTGATTTGTTCCGTTTTACACCTTCTTGTGTAAATAAGCCTAACAGAGAAGATGTTTAATAAATATTTGTGCAATGAATATAAAAATAAGCAAACCAACGTCCAGCCTGACGTTTGATTACAACATTTCTTAACTGGAGATGCCCAGCTGGTGAAATAGCTTCTCCTCTGTATCAGGTAATTGGGATGGTCTGTGAACAAGAACCCCATCTCCTTCCATGCTCCTCCTGTGCCTAGGGTGGTGGTGGTGGAGTCATGGCGGAAAGCCCAGGCCTGTTGGTGAAGAGAAGGCAGCACTGCAGGGGCGGGTGGTGACTACTGGTTCAGGTTGCCGTCACTTGGAGCTCATGTACGTGGAGCTCTCTCATCATTTCCATAGATCTGTAATAAATCTGTAAGGCACATGGGTTCTCTTTTGTGCTGCACGGCTTAATCTTTACTGGACATGTCCATTTTCCTGGCCAACGAGTGTTTTCCAAAGCAATAAATAAAACGAATTGAGGAAATGGGGTCTTCACTGACTGAGCTGAACAGTCTACTTGTTTGCGCTGCCTGTGGCTGGTGGTGTCCACAGGTCGTGGTGGGCAGAATGGCAGCCGGGACGCCTCTGCTGTGTCCCCAGGTGCAGCATCTGGCTTGGCCTTTCTACTGGCTTTTGTTTTTCCACGAAATTTTGAAATTGTTTGATGGAACTGGCTGCATTAATCTAACAGTCGTTTCTTAGAGACCTTGTTTCTGTTTGCTGGAGCTACAGAGGGTTCTGTAGACAGAATTTTACTGGCTCAAAGCAAACTCGGAACCAGAAAGTGCGATGCCATTGGTTCCACTTTATCACCAAGCCCTGAAGACAAACGCTCACCTCTTCCACATTTCCATCTGGTCTCCTGACAACACGGAGGAAAGAAGCTCGAGAAAATGTTAGGATATGACGAGGGAGAGAGGAGAGAATTCTGGGTTTCTCTAAGGTATTAGGTTGGTGCAAAAGTAATTGCGGGTTTTGCCATTTTAATGTGTTTTAGTGCAATTACTTTCGCACCTACCTAATACAAGGAACAGCCGAGGAAAAGGCTGGTCTTGAGGCCCCATCCAGGGCCTACGGCACCTTCTTCTACTAAGAAGGGAGGTTCACCCTCTTCCGAATCATCACCCACAAAAGTTCAGGGAGCTTCCCGTCAGCCCAAGGACACACTGACATTGTGTATAAGACCTGGGCAGTTTCCAACCAGGTTGTTGCACAGGTCACTGCTGGTTACTGGTTTATATTTTTCCCAAATATCGAATTCAACAAAGTAGTGTGGATAATCCATCACAGCTTATTACTTAAGACTGTGATCACTTTATTTTAAGACAGCATTCATGATTTCCCCAGAGAATAAAAGTAATATATGAGTCCTATAAAAAAATTAAAAATAAAAAAGTATAAAAATGAAAATAAAATCACCTATAAACATACAATTCAGATATAGCTTCTGATAATATTTTAATATTTTTCTTTTGCGTTTTCTTAGACTTTCCCCATGGCCTTTAATATTCCATGAGAATATAATTTTTATAGATTCATAATACACTGTATTATGGTTGTGTCATAAATTATTTGGCCATGCTTCTGCCATTGGTTATTTAAGTCTCTTGTACTTTTCCCACTGTTGTAAGTAAGATTGTGTTGAACATCTTTGTACACAAATCTCAGGTCACATTTTTTATTTGTTTATTTTTTGGGGGGTATATTTCTAGGGGCAAGGTTGTGTGGATCAAGGAATATTGGCTTTTTTTTTTTTTTGGATCTTAAGGCATAATGCTAAAAACGTGTCTATAGAGTGCCCGGCCAATGTGCTAATTTACCAGGAAACATAATCAGACTCATTGTGTAGACCTCCAGATTCCAGTTGTTTGATTTACGTTTCTTTAAAACTTTTGAACAAATGTTGGCTTGAAATAGACCAGAAGTGAAATAAAAAGTTCTGCCACAGATCTATAAAAGATTCACTCTTTCTTACATTTTCTATTTTATGAAGCAACATTTTTCAATTTGCCAAACTGCGTAATGCTAGATTGCACTGCATGAAAATGATTTAAAAGAGCTTCAGACTCCTAAGTACTTAGGCAGGTCTCTTCCGAGTGTATGGGTGACACAGACATCTGGACAGCATGCAACTTCTGAAGGCCTTGGCCATAAAACAGCCTCGGATTTGGTTTCCAGCTTTAGGCATACAAAGGTTCATTCAAATTGCAATGGATAAAATAATTTGTGCGTTTATATTATGTTAACCTGAGGTTATCGCTGACTGCAGGGCTGTGATTTTTCCCTTTGGTCCAATCTCCCAGATAAATCAGACTGTGCCATCAGCAATGAACTTGTTAGCTTCCATTGAATAGGTTTTCTTTTTCGGTCTTGACATTCCTACGTCTTTATGTAACTTCCCTGTTAACTAAGACAAAAATAAATACATGCATTCCCCATGCGAGGAAAGAGAGAAAGACAAGTAGAGAAAGTGACTTTTACACCCTCAGAGAAAGCTCCCGATTAAAGATAGAAAAGGCTGGAACAACCTTTCCTTAACATCCAATGGCACGTGGTTGGCCCTCCACCCTGTCTTCCTGGAAGAGGCATTTGAATGAAACACTTGACAAATATTTATATGCTAGTAACCATGCTAGAATAATAGCCACGGTCTGCTATGACCTGACTTGAGCCAGAAAATGCAGAGTGAAGGCAGGGGGAACACTGCTCAGGGTCCTCTCTGGTCAGGCCTGAAGCCATCGCTGGTAAACTGTGGACGATCACCCACTGTGCAGAGACCTCCTGACAGCAGACTTCAGCACAGGGATGTGGACTCGTTTCTATGAAAGCCTGGAATTCCTGTAGGGGTAGTGCCGTAAAACCAGACCTTTACATTCCTTATTTAAAGGACTTTTTTGTACATAGACTGCCTGCCCTGGCCTCTCTCCCACCTCTGGAAAGGAAGGGCTGGGAGAGAAACACACACTGGAGACGCTGTTTTGGATGCAAACACACTTGCTGCCTGCTTCTCTGTGTGCCCATGGTCCTTCTAGTTGCTGGGAATAGACGAGTGAGACGCAGACAAGGCCCCAGCCCTCATGGCACTTATGTGCTATGAGGAAACAAGCAATGCACATACCCCATCAAGGAGGTGTCAGTCCATCTTCATGAGCCAGAAGGTGACATGTGCCAGGGAAACAGGAATAGAGCCCTGAGTGAAGCATCAGCCAAGCACAGCCGACCTGGTGGGTCTTGGTGCAAAGGGAATGGAGCAAAGACTGGGAGGCAATGAGGGGATTCCCCAGGTGCTCCCCTGAGAGAAGAGAATTCTGCCCACAGGCCCTGCCACCAGCAAGTGCCTTGCATGCCATGGAGTGGGGGGAACCACAAGACGAGAAGGGCCTGAGGATGTGGGCATGGAGGCATTGCAAGGACTTTGAATTTACTCTGACAGATGAGTAGTCACTGGGAAGTCTGCAGCCCAGACAACCCACAAGGCCATCTCAGGAAGCTTGAGAGAGACTCACTATGTAGGGCAGTGGGCCCCCTTTGTGGGGGTCACAGCACCAACACACCTGAGCCTGGAGCTGCTGGAACTCCTCTCTGTGCAGCCAGAGACTCAGGCTTACTCCTGGGCCCCCTTTCCGCCTGCTGGATCAGCAAAAGTGAAATGACTAAATGGACTGTGGGATTTCGAAGAATTACAGCCCCACTCCAGTCCTTGAGAGAGAGGCTGAGGCCCCGCTCCCCTGCGTCTGTGTGGCCTGCTGCAAATAACGGGCTGGGTTTATGGCGAGGGGACGGCTGGGCGGTCGCTTGTCTAGAAATGCACCATGTGGTCCCTGCCTCCTCCTGAGCCTCGACGGCCGCCTGGGACGTAGATAGCCAGACATCACCAATTTCTAGGTTCAAAATTATATTCCCCCAACGTGAGTTAATCTTCCCATGAAAGGAAGAAATACTTTTCACTTCATGTTATTTTCTCTTCCTACTTTTTTTTTAAGTGTCAGATTTTTTATCTCTAGTATGACTATGGATGAAATATCACCAGCTTTGTATTTCAAGATAATTTCTCTTCCAGCAAATGTTCCCCTAGGAATAAAGACATGTAGTGCCCACACTGCTGTGCCTGCTTTTTCCGCCTCTGTCTAAACAAGGCCCTGTGGGTTCCGTCTGCTTGTCGATTCCCAGCGTGCACTGGTCACTGCAGGGCTGAAAGGTCTCGCTTTTAGCTTCCTAGATAGGCCAGCGAGGTTAATAAGTTAATAAAATCCTATTTATCAGACTCCGGAGTCCACTTCCTCTTCCCCGTGGCTCACGGTTGTAATTATTCTTTATGGACTCTCGGTGTTCCTTTAGATCTGATTTCCTCGCACTCCCCTCCCATTTCCTGAGAGCCACGCCACAGAAGGAGAGAGCGGTCATGCCTCTGGAAAGATGTCTGTTACTCATTGCCACCTTGGTGTCACGAAAGCTAGTCTGAAGGGGTATGTTTAAATATTTAAAATTTTAAGATGCGTGTGGAACAGCCCGAGTTGCTTCTCCCCCTGAGCAGATTAGGTTAGAAAGACCTGGGGGCTCCTGGGTAACCTGGCCTAGCTGTCCAGGGGTCTAGAGATTGGGAACCAGATCCTGGGCTCTTGGCAGCTTCAGTTTTATCCGGAAAATGGGAGCCATCATTTCAACCATTCTCACGTATGAGGATAAATGACAATAACTTATGTGAAAGTGTTTTTGAAAACAACAATGACAGCAAAACGCAGAAAAAGAAGGCGTGGTCTTGGTTGCTTTTGCTGTGACTGTTTGCCTCAGCAGGGTGCCAGGGATATGGGAAATTCAGGCCAAATTAGCCAGAGCTTCTCTTATTAGTGAAGATTCGCTTATCAGGTTCCCTGCTGTCGGCTTGGAAGACCCGGAGTCTGACCCTGAATAATGAAAGGGAGGAGAAATGAAGATTGTCTCTGAGCAGGACTCGGGATGGAGAGCAGTGGGCCCCAGCGGGGGCGGGGGGGCAGGTCAGGCTGTAGGGCCCCTGGAGCTGGCTCCCGGGCTTGAGAGAAAGGGTCACAGTCACCTTCGCCTGCCCGGGCCCAGCTGTCTTTCTCAGGAGTGGCGGAATGTAGCCTTCTACGCTACAGGCTCCTGTGCCTCGCGGTGCTGGCTTTGGGTTTCTTCTGAGTCTCTGTGCTAACTTAGGCGCTGACATTTCTAACGTTGGCCAAGAAGGTTTTGTATACAAATTTATAGTGTACTCTGTGTGTGTGTGTGTGTGTGCGCGCGCGCGCACCAGCACATGCACTTTTTTAAACAACTGGGAATCTTCTCAGCAAACAGGATTCCTTGTCTACTCCCCTCTCTTGAAGATGGTCACTGAGTGGCTAGGGAGACACAAACTTGGCCTTGCCAACAGTGGAGGGTGCCCCGAAGCCAAACGAGATGAATTTCTGTCAGATGAGGCACAGAAGGGGATGGGGTAAAGGAAGCAGGTACTCCCCCACGTGACTTCCCCACAGGCACCACTTCAGCAAAGCAAGACAGTGATACGGTTTGGCTGTGCCCCACCCAAACCTCATCCTGAATTGTAGTTCCCGCAATCCCCATGTGCTGTGGGAGCAACCCGGTGGGAGGTAATTGAATCACGGGGGCGGTTACCTCCATGCTGTTCTTGTGACAGTGAGTGAGTTCTCATGAGATCTGATGGTTTTATAAGGGGCTCTTCCCCTTTTGCTCAGCACTTCTCCTTGTTGCTGCTGTGTGAAGAAGGAGGTGTTTGCTTCCCCTTCCGCCATGATTGTAAGTTTCCTGAGGCCTGCCCAGCTCTGCGGAACTGTGAGTCAGTTAAACTTTCTTTATAAATTACCCAGTCGTGGATATGTCTTTATTGGCAATGTGAGAACGGACTAATACAGATGGGCAGAGAAAGGTCTCCGTGCCAGCATCTAACCTGGTGATCAAGGATGGAAAGAAGAGTGGGGCCACACCATGTAGAGACTCCTTGGAGACAATTTCACTTGAGGGCCTTGGCCGACAAGCCAAACAAACAAATGAATAAACAAACAGGGGCTATGGTGGCCAAAATACACAGAGGCACGGCCCCCAGGTGGCCCCCAGCTTCCTTGCCCCCACATCCTGAACACCCCTCTGCACAGTAACAAGCTGGCAGAGAAAAACTACAAGCAATTTAAAATTTCTTCCCTTTCCTCTATCGGACCTTCAGAGAACTAGTCTGAGACCTACGAGGACTTCAGAATCCATCTCCACCCAACCCTGGACAGGCACAGACTTACCTCTGCAAGAATATAAAAGCAAGCACATCAACCACAACTAACTAGGCATCTGAATCTATTAATTAATTCAACATCCATCGAATAAGTCAAAAAAAGAAGGTAACATGATCAATTAATAAATGTCAAAGAGCTCCTCGGCTAAAATCCAATCTATCTTAATTAATTTCACATACACACGCACTAAACAAACAATCCTTATGATATGAGATTCCGTTGGAGTTCTCTAATGTGGTTCTTAAAAAATCTCAAAGCAAAAATCATTGTCATACTTCACAGTGACACAATAAAGCCATTCAAATTAAAGTCAAGACAATGAAAAGGATGCCTATGTTCCCTATTGTTACTTAATATGGTTTTGGAAATACCAGCCAATGCAATTAGATAAGAGATAATTTGAAGATGGCAATAGTGTGTGCCTAGAAACACAAAGTAAATCAAGTGAAAACATTATTAGAATCTATAGGAGAATTCAGTGAGTTAGGTGGTCTTAAAATTAATGTGCAAAATCAATAGCTTTCCTTTATCTGAAAAAATAAACATTTAGAAAGTATAACAGAAGGAGTATACCCATTTGAATGGCAATGACATTTGAATAGCAAGTAATAAACTTCATAAAACAACTGCAGGACCAATGTGAGGGAAATATTTTATTCTGCTGAGAGACATAAACCCTACTGAGGAGTATTTTCGGCAAGTAAATGAGGTAACTTCTTATCCCCAGAAGGGGAGGCTCAATTGTGTAAGAAATAAATTACCCTAAATTAGACTATATATTTCATGAAATATTAAGTAAAATACCAACAGGATACTTTGGAATTTTACAAAATGATATTAAGTCTCATGTGGGAAAAAGCGTATGAGAATGATCGGGGGATTGTGGAAAGGAAGACTGATAAGCCTGTGCTGCCCAGTTATTAAAACGTTGAGTTATTCCAGAAAGTCAGAGCACTTTGCACCAGAGCATGAATAGATAGGATTGTTGAGCTGAATACACGGGACAGAAATAGACTGAAATACCTGTGGGACTCCAGTGCTCTCTGCATGATGAAGCTGACATGTTAAGGCAAAGCGGAAGTCCTGGAAAACTGACAAGTTTCAGTCTTCGGGGGGAAAACAAGTTACAGAGCAGTATGTAGAGTGTGATACCGTTGTGTGCAGAGAACACCTGCAGGTTAACGTTTTTCTGGGAGAATAGATGGGAAAATGATGGTAATTATTAAATCTTTGCTGGGGAGATTGGGAGGGGGAAGGAGTTTTCACTTTACTAAGTTTGGGGGAAAATGACTTTAGTGTTTTGAAAACAAAATGATATACATCTTCATATAGATGATGCAAACAGTTATTTTTAAAAAATAAAATTGGTTGAGCATAATTCTAGAAATGTCATGATTGATAGACTAATATACTTACAGATGGAAAGAAGTAATTTTATAAAAACTGGATCATATGGTAAGTATTTGTCAAAAATGCATTAAGTTTAATTTTAAGGAACTGCTGAATTTCAAACAAATGCTTCTTTGCTCTCTCACTATGAGAAAAACAATTGGTTTCTAAAAGACCCCTAGAACATTAGAAAGGGGGGGAAGTAGAATAAACAATGAATAGGTTAGAATGACAGCATTGTTTCAGTTGCATGTTGGAACTTGTCACGGTTCCTGTTAATTCGCTGCTACAAAAGATGATGAAATGAGTGCACCCACCCTCCGTTCCCCTGGGTCTCACCTACCCACCAGGTTTTAGTAGCTGCATTATTACTTGTTCATTTTAAAGTTGTGTAATATCTACGATGCGTTCTGCAGCAAAAATTCCCAGAACAGCTTAGTCCTGACTCTATGTTAAATATAAGCACTGTTTGCCAGGAGTTAATATTCCATAACTTTTCCATTCTTGAGTTGTTTATTTGAATTCATCATTTGGTTAGCAGGGCTTTGCACCAGCAGCTCATGGATGCCGTAGCTCCTAAGTCTGCTTGTGTTTGAGAGTGTCTACATGTTGCCTTTGCTTTTGGAAAGCACTGTGATTGACTGCATGAAAAGAATCGGTAATGCTTTCCTTTTCCTTGACAATCTTGTAGGTCTCCAGCCATGGGAGTGTTCTAGTGGGGAAGGAGGAAGCCAGCACGAATATCTCCCTTATAAGAACACTACTGTGGCCAGGGACACTTATGCAATTCCCATAAGGTTCTTTGTCATTATATGAACTGCATTACACACACACACACACACACACACACACACACAACTGCCTAGCAGCACATTGTAAAGGCTGTATAATATAACGATTATTATCCTTGTTTTCTTTATTCCTGAAATCTAGTATTAAATAACATCGGTGGGTTACGTCTGTTGATCACTCAGCATTGACTTTCCCTGAAACATGAAATCTATTTCATATACAGATTCAGGACTATTTTTTATGTCAGGTAAGCTTTAAGAAAAAATCTTTGAATGTTTTAACGTGTGTTCTATTCTTTTATTATAATTATCCCTGTTCTTGTCTATTTTCATTTTGTACAAATCTTTACCTATCTACCATGTCCTTGGCAGTATCCTCTTCAGTGGTTATTCTTTTTTGTTCTAGTATGTTTTACATTTCTTCTAGTATGACTTTTAATTCATTTTAATTACTTCATTAATTTGAAGGAATTATGCATATAATAAATGCACATAATAAAACCAAACTCAATTAATTCCAAGGTATATATAGAAAAAGTTAAGTTTCTCTCTCATTGTAGACACCCAGACCCTCAGTCTGTCATTTCCAGATTAAGTGTATTTTTCCAGAATGGAAGAATGGAAACAAATGGCAGTATCATCTACACAAGAAAAAGCGTATTATAACAATTAAAAATTGTTTTCATGTCATTACCTGTAATTTATTGCTTTTCATGGTTGCATAATTTTTTGGATACAAATACTTTAATTTACTTATGAACATGTAGTTTTTTTCACTTTTCTACTTCTCATATTTTATTTTTAAAATGATATTTATTATGACCTTTTTTTGCACACAGTGCAAGAATATCTATAATAAAATTTTAGCAGTAGAATACTATGCTATATTATCACTAGTAGGGGAGGAAGGTCCTACTGGCCTGTAGTACGCAGGACACACCCCATAACAAATAATTATCTGGTCCAAATGTCAGTGGTTCTGCAGTTGAGAAACCCTGCACTGTAGGACATAAACTATTACCACATGTGTCTTCAATGCAAGTTGTAGCAGGGAAATACCCAGTAAAAACAGACGGTCCCAAGGAAAACCACTGACTGGTTAGGAATAAAGGGTCTATAAAAAGCATAGAACAACATAGCAATAATGCATAATTTAGGGGAAAAATGAGGACCAAAACATTAATAAAGGGAAGTCATAAATGCATTAAAATATTAAGGAATAGAAATAGCATAGCAGTAGCTGAATAATAGTATAAGCACCAGGCATTAAGATATAATAATAATAAGAACAAAACTATAATAACTAAAATGTATTAGGTTGAGCCATAGGAAAACATCATTTTGTAGTTTACAAAATAGTTGAATATTGACAATTTGACGTAAGTTAATCTATTAATGATTGCTTACTCTTTGATATGGAGTGGTTTGATATCGGACTCGTTCTTTAACACAGTCTGATGAGGTAATTCTCAGGATACAGATGGACGTCTGTGCTCTGAAGTTTAATCCTCTCATCCAAGATCAAAGAGAAAATAAGTGCACAGCCAGAACTGAGCCCTGGTTTATCTGTTGTCAAACCCACATTCTTCACTGTGAAGCTAATATTTGCACAAAGTAAAGAAATAAAAAAAGAGATAAATGAAATTAAAAAGATGTGAGAAGACGAAGTCAGACCACAGAGAGCTAACATGTAAACAGTGGGCGCCTGTAACGTCAGGAACAGAACAAGTGGAAGAGAAGGGCAAGCACGTTCAGAAGGACCAGAGAAAAAACCATGCTCAAGCGAAGAATTTCATCTGCTGCTTGAAAGGCCACATCGTATTCCTGGAAAATTTTAGTAACAAAAAGTTTTGTCTTACTAGAAATATTTAACTCTAAGGATTGAGAAAGAACACCACAAGCTTTCAGGCAGAAAAAAAAGGCACATGGCCTAAAAGAGGAAAAATGCAGAACAACATGGAACTTAGACTTGTCCTCAACACAGCTCTATCCCAGAAGCAAATTTCACGGTAGCTTTAGGAGAACATGAAAGTCCTAATGTTTGTACCCAGTGAAGTTGTTCTTCATGTATAAACTCAACAAAAAATCATAATAAAAAAGTCATTGAATCCCTTCTGAAAAAACTAGTAAGCCATGTTTGAAATGATTGCAAATAAAGACTTCAGACAAAGGGAAGCTATTATGACAGGGCTGGCGGTGAGCACTGACATGTGGAACTAAGAGTAAACAGCTTGATAATTCTATGTATTCAGTGCTGTAAAGTCAACCATTTGAAGGAAGGCATTGGGAAGTAAAATTTTTAAAATGTTATCTAATATAGAGAAACTAAAATTCCTGGGTTTATCAATAAAAGGAAGAAGAAGTACCA